GAATCCTCTCTCCAATCAGGCACCATTGATCAAATTTCCCCATCTGGTAAAAGAACATATTCAGGTCCCCTTTTCACTAATGTTTCAAAGGCATTTAGTCAAATGTGAATAGAAGTCTCTTTCAGACTCAGTAACTAGTGCCTGAGAAGCTGAACTGGAGTCTACATTTAGAGAGGTGATGGTTGTGAGGCCAACTCACAAAAACCTTTGCTAAGTCCCCTCATTCCTACTTAGTATTCAGAGATAGTTGGGGTTTACAGGTCTTAAATATGACTTAACCCCAAAATAAAACAAACAAACAAACAAACAGATAAGTAATAGCAGCATCCTTTAACTAAAAGAACCTAGCTTAGTTATTCATCAGAATGACATGAACTTGGCACCTTAAACAACTTTCACAGTGGGATATTATGCTCCCAATTCTTAAATGTATGCCATGGACAGATTGTCATATGCATACCGCCATGCCAAAGCTCTTTGAAATTATTCAGTATAATCTGTTAATAATCAAGGGACGTCTGGTAAAGAATTAGATTTTCTTTTTTGTTAGAAAACATCAATTCATCCCTTTTGAAGTACAGAATAGAACTGCCAAAGTAAAAATGAAATTAGTGAATAAATTTTTTAATATTATTTAGAGAAAACTGAAGTAATGGTATATGGGGATGACCTTGGGAGATAGGAAGAAGTGCTACAGACCAGACAACTGGCACACAAAAATGCCTTAACACATAGAAGTGGGGATGGCATGGAAAATATTTCAGAATGGCCCCACGCTAGTAAAAGGAAAGAGGAGAAATGCATTCAGTCTTGCAAGATTCTGTTAATGTAACCTTACAATGAAAAATAGAGCTTGTACTCTTGGTTGTGCTTCTTTTCTGGACTACCTCACAGGGATAACACATAATTAAAAAACTGGCAGCATTTAAAAATGATTTCAAAAATCTACCCTTTAAAAAAAAAAGAGAGAGATAAACATTCACATTTTATTTTGAAAGTTTGCCTTCATTTTTTTCCCACTTAGACCCTATCAGCACTTACAGAACACACAGCAAAAAAGGGGTGGGGCTTCTCAGCGAAGGTGGATAACCAACAGTTCAATGCGAATACAAGCAACCATTGCTGCTCCTGAGAATTCCATTCCAGTATAAAACTATGGGATCATGAAATTGTGAATGATAAAACTTCAGTTGCCAGAAGGAAGCCCACAACCCTGCCAACTTTACTGCTGTGGCCATTGGACCCTAAAAAGAAAACGTGTGTGGGGTTACCAAAATGCCATCTGCCCCTGTGGTAGGCGGTTATAACACTGCAGTCTAAAAACCCTTTAATAACAAAAGGGAAATGTAGCATAGAAATTTCACTTATAAAGTTATTTGTAGATAAGTATCTATAGTGGTATCCATTATGAGGTAAATGCAAAGGTATCATTCAACATTCAAGGCCTATTTTTATACCCAGCAATAAAGTATCACACAGAAATACACACAGACACAGATACACACAGACACACACAAGACATTCTTGTACTAAGGACAGATTTTACACACCTATTCACACAAGCCAAAGGACTATTACAGAGGGGTATAAACTCCATATATACCCTTTAATTCATTTTCCCACAAGAATCTCTTTATAAATATACCTATTTTCTATACATGTCCACTGAGAAATGAAAATTATTGATATTCATTGGATTGACTTTTAATAAATACTCAGAAAATTGCAACCATATGGTTAGATATTCAGCTTTGGAAAATACATGATGCCTTTTTATTCATCAGCTACCCATCAGTAAAGTGATATTTTGGCCAATTACAAAGTCCATATATAGTAGGTTTGGGGAAGTTGGGAGTTATTTGGAATGTGAGAGAGCTTTTAAATATGTATGGAGCTAAAGAAGTGGAATAAGACAAAATGAGCAGGTATGCATATTTACTTTACTAATGATATTGGCTAGCAAAAAAAAAACACCAGAGAATTTCATTTGTTATCCCTGACAAGTAAAAGACTGATATAGATTTAAAACTGAAGAGATCTTTCAGAATTTATTACTGTGCCAACTCATAAGCAGACTCATACATCATTTACAATTGTCCCGAAAATACCTATATTGATTTCCTTAGAAATATGTGATCATATAATTAACTATTCTAGAAAGAATTTCAGTATAAGAACTTACTGTATATCAAAAACAAAGGATTGCACAGCTTTCAGAACACCGAGGCAAACTTCACTACAAAATTGTGGATAAGCATATTAGCAAATTAACCACTGGATCCCGTCCATCATCTTGATGCTTCCTCACTAATCCCATTGTCATTGTCTACTTCTGCATCTTCTCTTTCACAAAAGTGGAATAGGTCAGGGGTAGGCAACCTTGGCTCTTTTATGACTCGTGGACTTCAACTCCATGCTGGCTCAGGAATTCTGGGAGTTGAAGTCCACGAGTCATAAAAGAGCCAAGGTTGCCTACCCCTGGAATAGGTGATCTAGCCTCTACTAGATGCTTTGAATTTCAGCTCCTATCAAGTTTATCCAGCATAGTCAATGTGAAGGAACTATGGGAGTTGTAGTTCAGTAATTTTCTCCTTCTGCTATGTTTTATGGCTCAGCTCCTTTCATCCCTTCATTCCTTCACCCCAATTCAATGGGATTCTGACCGTATGAACATTTTCATTCTCTACCAGTTGCATCTGAAGGCAAGTTATTTTAAATGGTGGCACACGCGACCTTTCCCGTCACAGATAATTACAATTACACCTTTATATGCCACCAAGATTTATAAGATACAATACATTAAGATACAATGGTGGGCTGCAGTTGTGAAATTCTAGCATAAAAGTAAATAGCCAACCTTTCCTTGGCACCAAAGCCCAAGCAGTGTTATAGCTGAGGAAACAAGTATTCCAAAGCTGTAGAGAGGAAGATGACCTTGATAGAAATAGGTGAGCTCTGTTAACCAACATGATAAGGGGAAAATCATATATTGAGCCCATAAAATAGCTTTCACAAATGATTCAAAAGACATCTCATTAATTCACAAGTGTGTAAGAAATGGAAGGAGATACAGCAGGGGTGTCAAACTGCTGGCCCACAGGCTGGATGTGTCACGAGGAAACCATGCCCACCCCATTGCCGGCAATGGGGAAAAAGCTCCAATACATCGCGCAACGTTACGTGACGTCGCAAGTTTGACATGTCTGAGATACAGCATACTGTAATTAGACTTAAAAGGTCATATTATTACAGCCAATAATAGTAGCTTTAGCCTTTCTAAGGAGTTCGTTTCCTAGCCTGGTCTACCTAGTCAGGCTGATAGAAACCATGACAAAGAAGGCCCCCTAGTGCATTCTCTTCACAATGCCCCTTTTCCTAGCTAGGGTGCTGAAGGCACCCTATCCTAAATATCTTAACATATGTATTGAGGAAGGGCCTCTTTCAAGTATCAAGGGCCTCTGAAATGTTATTACTAAAATCTTAAAAAAACAACCATTAGCATACATATAGGCAGCCAGGACAGATCCTATATAGATATCTAAGGCAGTACTTCACAGCTTTCTACACTAACTGCAATGTCCAGATTATTTTCAGAGAAAACCCATGCAAAGGACGCAACATAGTTTGACTACAAACTAGATTTTTAGCATTAAGACTAAGATAAAGACTAAGCTAGCATAAATTTAGTTCTACCAAATGAGCTGGTTAGATGTTCATTTAATTCAAAGATAACTAAGTAAAATTAATTTAGGGTTAGCTGAACATTTTAGTTGATTCAGAATGGTTTTGCTGAAGGGCTTATGTTGCAGAGTATCTGAGTTGCCCACAGTTTGTGGCAATCAAGAGGCAGCTTAGTAGCTCTTATCTGAAAAGGAGAATTTTGGCCTGCACTCAGACATTCCTTTTTTTAAAAAAATAAAACCAGCCCTATCTTATCTATTAGTTACTGCTTTAAAGCTTACATTCATGAAATAAATTTTCTTTTGGAAAATATCAGTTTACCCTTCTTTGAATTTGTAATGATTTCTTTATTTATATCAGTGGTTCTCAACCTTTTTAATGCCGCGATCCCCAACCGGTCGTAAGTTGAGGACTACCCAACCGGTTGTAAGTTGAGGACTACCCAACTGGTCATAAGTCGAGGACTTTCCCTGCCCGGGAGTGCCGTGCATGCATAGTGCCATCCCCTGCGCCGGCCGAGGCATAGCTGGCAAGCGGCAGAGACAACGCAGGCCGACCACCGGCTGGGCCACCAGCTGGCCCAGCCCAAGGGAGGTAAGGCACCTGCCGGGCCCCACGCACGTCAGCAACCCTCCCTGCGCCCGCCGGCCTCCCATCTCCCACCCCTGGCCCTCTTTTACTTACATTTTTAGTAGTTGCTCAGCAGGGAGGGGTGGAAACTTCCAGACAGCTCGCCTTCGCTGCAGACAACTTGCAGCACCGTTTGCAGAATGGGACTTTTGGCGGGCTCAGCAGGGCAGAGACAGCCTGGACAATTCCTATTGGCTTTTGAAAGCCAATAGAATTAGACTCTATTCAAGAGAGTCTATTCTATTGGCTTTCAAAAGCCAATAGAATAAAAGGGAGTAGCACAGCTAAGGAAAAGAGGAAAAAAATGGCGGACTGCATTGTTTGGCAATGCCCATGAAATGGTCGTTCGACCCCAAATGGGGTCCCGACCCACAGGTTGAGAACCGCTGATTTATTTGAACTGGAGAAACAGTATAGAAACAATATATAATGCAACTTCAAAATTAATAGGTATGATAATAACAAAAGGGGAGATAATGAATCCATATTACAGGAAGCCTTCTTCTATACCCTATTTATTTAAAATGTAATTAAAATATTGACAAACAACAGATACCAATGTGATCTTGGTGATCTTGACAAGGTTCATAGCAAATTTCTCTTCCTACTGGGCATCTCCTTCTAAGTCTCATCGTAGGAACTCTCCCTTTGGCATTTAACATCATATTAATGAATAAAATCTTACTTACGAGTATTGTGTAAGGAGTTCCAAGTTATTATGCATGTTGATTGGATATGTTTCTCTGAGATGGTAGAGCTTTTCTAAGGCCTCATAAATGAAAATGATGCAGATAAGAGATGCAAAGGCTTCTTCCGTAAACCGAGTTATGTAGCACACCAAAGAACTTGCATCCGTCGCCACGAGAATGATACACAGAATTGCAGTCCATAAACCAATGCTCGCTCTCAAAGAAAGATAAGACAGTTCGTATTCCCTATTAATAGATTTAAAAAAATATTACTGCGGTGGTCAAATGAGAAGACATAGATTTAGGAATTCCATGTGATCTTTAGACAATCAATTATTCTTCAAAATAGCTTTTTGGGAAAGCATAGCAAAGGCTACAACTACTTATTGTCATTTGCCAATGCTAAGCCATAAAACGTATTTCAGTAATAAGGCTGATTTTACTGGCTTATAGTTGTGGTATTGCCTTGAAGGCAAATTCCTGATTTGCTTGCAAATCTCAAAAATAAAAAGGCTTCCATTCTGCTCTTGAAGAGTCCAGGATTGTATTACTGGATTTTATTCTCTTGTTCATAATAGGAGGGGCAATAAGTACATGAGTCAACAAATATATAAATACAATGCTATTTTATGTTATGATTCAAGGACTTGTACTTCACACATTCACCTCACCCAGGAGAAGCACTTGGAATCCATTTTAAAGAAAAATGATATCCAAATATACAAAATAAAATAAATGCTTAATTAGGCACTATCCCAAATGATCAAGAATTTGGGCATAAAATATCAAGATAGGCAAATAACTCTAGGGCCATTTTAAATTGGCCAAGGAATATAACATTTTAAGGATGCTGCCATCTTGTTCTTTTTCTTGTCTATCTGATCTGCAGTATTTTGGCCTTAAATTAACCAAACTTAATGCTATTTTGTAGACAGCAATAGCACTTACATGCTGCTTCACAGTGCTTTACAACCCTCTCTAAGCAGTTTACAGAATCAGCATACTGTCCCCAACAATCTGGGTCCTCATTTTACTGACCTTGGAAGGAGGGAAGGCTGAGTCAACCTTGAGCCTGTCAGGATCGAACTGCAGGTAGCTGGCAGTCAGTAGAAGTAGCCTGAAGTACTGCATTCTCACTCCTGCACTACCACGACTCATAGAAGCTCAAAGACACTAAGGAATTTTTTAGATGGTACTTAAAAATAGTTCCCATCATCCCTGATCACTCGAGCTATGGGCAAGGCACATGGCTCTACTCCAGTGCTAATACCAATCCAATAGTAGTCTTTTAGAAATGAGATTAAAGATATCAAAAGATTTAGCACAACTTTTTGAGTTTTTCCAAGAGGCTTGTTCAAGGGAAGGCAGAAATGATGAAACTCAAAAAGGAGGAACACAGAGTACTTACTTGCAAAACTTGAATAATATCTTTTCAAACACCAAAACTGGTCCTGTGCTACCTAATATGGTCAGAGGCTGCCCACCAAACAATGAGTAGGCTATTCCAGTCATCGATGCACCAAACAAAGATTCTATTGCACTCTGTGTATTTAAAAAAAAAAAAAGCAGAATTGAAAAGTTAGAGCTGTGACTTGGGAACCGATCCTTAGAAAATGCAACCCAGAACATTTTATTTATTGGGATAGGGATAGGGACAAATAGATATGGTAAGACTGCAAATCCAATTGCAACACATACTATACGACCGTCTGTTGCTTCTCCCAGCAAGCCGCCAAATGTGATAACAGGAGACATACAAGCACAATAGAGAAATAGAAAAGATGCTAGACACTGCAAGCTGAATGCATCAGTGAAGTCACTCAGAAGGAATGGCACTTTCCTCTTGATATCTAAAACCAAGCCCCCAAAGAGCCTAAAGAGAATGAAAAAGAAAGAATGTCACTAAAATGTGGTAATGGGATTGTTGTTGTTTTTTTGTTTTAAGCAGGAACATATACTTACACAAGTTCAACATAATGTGCTATTTGCATTCACTTTTAAAATGAGGTATGAAATAGACAAGAACTCTCCAGCTCACCATCTCCCTGTTTTTAGCCTGAAGCCTTAACCAGTAGTACATCAAACTGGTTCTCTAACATCACTATTAAGTACTAAAATATCTTTGATGGCAACAGGTTACTGCCTCTGAGATATTAGAGCAGTGTTTCCCAAACTTGACAATTTTAAGGCATGTGGACTTCAACTCCCAGAATTCCACAGCCAGCATTGCTGGCTGTGGAATTCTGGGAGTTGAAGTCCTCATGCCTTAAAATTGTCAAGTTTGGGAAACATTGTATTAGAGAAAGCAGAACTATGGCCACTTCATTTTGGCAGCAATCCTGACAAGAGGACTGCCTGTTCATTTACAAATATAGCCATCCATAGCTTGGAGAGATCTTCAAAGTTGCAACCGGGCCACATAAGAGAATACAGTGAACTGATCCTTCAAGTAGGATGTTTAATGGCTTTGCTTGAGAGAAAGCCAAAATGGTCACCTAACCAGATTTTCATTATTAATTAAGATGAACAATTTTGTATGGATTCCAAATCATTGGAACTTCAGTTATAGCAATATTATATAATGCCTTAACTATCCCTGTTCCTAGGTTTACTTCCCAGTAAGCATTGACAGGAAAACAGCTATGGTCTGAATTTTTCTTAATTTGTTAAAAAATGTATGCACAGACTGAATTTCTGTATTTTAGCAACTGAACAAAGTTCGAACAATTATAATAACTTTCCAAAGTAAAAAGATCAGTATTTTTGTACTGTTTTTTTTCCTTAACAACAAATACTTTTGAAGATAGCTACAATATAATCTACCCAACAATATTTGAAACAATGCAAGTAAAATTATACAATTAATACAGAAATTTAAATTCCCTCTTTCATTAAATGGAGTGGAACTCTCCATACAAAATACCTGCACCTGCACTTTACAAAAAAATATGGAATTGGAATTTGCCATTTAAAGCATAGAGACTGTCCCGACTCCATTCATTGCATGACTATTTTTAATGTGTTCAATGATATGCATCCCAATTCAGTAATTATTTGCGAGGCATAAATATATATGCAGGCAAATCCAATCCATTTTACTAGAAGTACATTTACGTAAGTATTGGTTTTAAATAAATGGGACAGCCTATTCATTTTAACCATCATTTATTTATATGTGGGTATCATAAGACCTATTGACCTTTAGGTGGGTGCTAGATCGTATTTTTTAAAAAGAGCCTTACATGTCTTTGTATGTGTGTGTATGGATGGATAGCTATATATATATGTATACAAATAAAAATACTATCTTACTACTAACTTTCCAGTACGTTGTAATTCTGGCCCCGAATGTCCTCCAAGTGGCTCTGGATCTCCATGAGCAGCAGTTCCATTTGGTACACCTGGAATTTTACGTTTCTCCTAAATGAAAAAAATGGATGTGTCTGTTTTGAATTTGTTTTCCATTCCAAATTGTGGGCTGTCAAGGTAAGTTAGAAATGTCATGTCTAGCTTCCTTTCATAGGCAGCTTTCACAAATGAAAGTCACCAAAGTAACTTATTTAACAGGATTTCTAGCATCTGGAGATGCCAAGCAAAATCTGAGAGAAGTGTCTTGAAAAGTGCTACAACATGAGCCTCCTTAATAATAATAACAGGCTTCAGCACTAGAGATTAAAAATGGAAAAAAAACAAACAAAAAAGAGCTATATTCAGCCATCTTTCTCCTGTGGGTTTGTGGGATGCCGTATCCACCACACCTGTTACATTGCTGAAACTGTTCAAGTGCAATGAAGTCCAAGTCAAGACAGAGAAGGTGCATATTCTTGCTGATTTACTATTAAGACACAAGGACATGTTACTGCCATATGTGTGCTACTGTTATACCTCTTTCTGGAATCTCTTTCTATGTCTGCCTAGTAAAATTTATTTACAATAAAAAAATACAATGACAAAGTCAGGCTCAGACTTTCACTGAATCATACAAGCTGAAGAATAGAGTAGAGTAGAGTAGAACAGAACAGAATCTTTATCTATCTATCTATCTATCTATCTATCTATCTATCTATCTATCTATCTATCTATCTATCTATCTATATTTACATTATATATGTCCTGAAAAGTCATGGGAAAAAAACTCTTTGAGATGCCAATGACCTATAGGAGAGGTAAGTGATGTAGAGCACTGATGGTATCTTATGTAATTGTATCACAACTGGAAGAGATGAGGAATATAAATGTAAAAGATAAATAAAAATAAATAATTACCTGAGAAGGAACATTTTTGGGAGGTTCTATGCGAATTGTTGGGTCCCATTCTCCTGGAGGGAGAACTGTCACTTGATCAAGAAACTCATCAATTCCAGCAACTAAGTCACTGCGATCCTTAGCTTTATATGCAACATCATGAAATACCTATGAAGGAAAGAAGGAACTCCATGAGATTTTATTTCTAAGGAGGAAAAAAATCTAAACACAGTTGTTTCTCAACAAATCATAAAATTTATTTTCCTGCTCATTTTCAGTATTGTTCTATGATTCAAAATACTAATGTTTTTAATCTTTCTATTTAAATGGCTCTGAAGGTTGAATTAAGAAGCTGCTAGTTATTAAACTAAAGCATTTTAGATGGACATGGTGATATAAATAAATCTTCATACTAAGCACTTTAAAACAGGTATTTTTTCAATCGATTTAATCAATGCCTGTGAATAGATAAGTACCTCATCTGTCATTAATGTTCCAATTGATCTGCCAATCTCATGATACTGTTGACCTTTTCCTGAGGGTCCCAGAAGAATAAATAAAAATCTATGAAAAATAGAACACAAAAATATTCAGATAATGTTAATTTTACATAATTCTAGTATCTGAACAAACACAAGTTAGAAGAAACTAAGTCTGTGTTTTAACAGCTCTTGAATTTGTATTTTACCAGTTGGAAAATAATTTCTTTTAAACATTGATATACCATCAAATTTTTTTTTAAAAAAACCAAGAATATGTTATTTTTTTAGAAAATTATAAACACTTTCCCTGCTGATGAGGTAATTGGTAGTTTTGGGCTCATGTGTTTCTTAAAACTAAACAGAGAAGTATACACATTAAAATGGTTTCCTAATGTATTATTAAACTGTAACTGTACCAATACATAACGTTACACAAAACAAAGTGAGAATCATTTCTGTTTGAGAAGGTGTTTTACCGTATTTTAGAATAGTTAACGCTTATTATGTTCTATTTAGGCTCATGAACAACCCCCCAGCTTTCTATAACCATTGATTCCCTCTTAATCATGAATACAAACCCCATTTTTCTATCCAATTTAAATGGAATTTTTCACATACGGGTTTAAACTTTTAAAATTGTAAAAGCAAAAAGAGAGGGAGGATAGTCTATGAAATGTATACTTTTTTCTGTCTTTATTGCAGGGCATTAAACTACTGCGATCTTATGTAAAGTTTGAGACTGCTTAACCTTCAAAGCAGAATTGTGCATACATCAAACAGTACTCAGTGATGTTGGTTTTCAATTACTTCTTATCTCATGGATGGATGGAACACATTTTGGCTACAGTTGTTTGCTATACAGATCAGGAGTTTTGTTAAACTAGTCAGAGATCTTGTAAGCCTAGCATTGATGATATTGTCCAGTTTTGGTGGTGAGGTGGTCTTCACAAATTGTGCTCTGGAGCAATATATAATCCTTAACATTATTCAGAGAAGTCTTCCTTATTCCCTGATTGGCCCTTATTCTTTTTATCTGTGAACTGCAGAATATAAACCAAGCTGGAATGATTACATTTCTTTCTTAGCAAAGGTTATAAATTACCTTGATGGGATTGGAACTTCTGTCAATCCTGAAAGCAACATAGCAGGAGACAATCTAACAAAGGCGACTACGGCACGGTCCAAGAATTCAAGCTCACCAACCAAAATGTTTGAGGCTTCGGCTCCAGGCGGGATTTTTTTCATGAAATGCAGGTCAACCTGATCATTAAAAAAAACACCATACAAGAAAAAGAAGAATGGGGGAGGGGAAATGAGAGACCCTAAGAGATGTGAAGATTTCTAGCATTTCATTTCACTGACACATTGATACATCATAGATCATTAACCACAGGATAAGTTAGCATAAACATGTATTAGTGCAGGTACAAACTCTGATAAATTAATTGGAGTTATCAATCAATAAAAACTTTAATTATGGTTTTATAAGACTTGGCAGCTAATTAAAGCTCTAAAATAAATAAATATAATCTACAATCTACAAATCTTATCCTAGTCATATTGATACCTTATAAAAGGCTAATGTTTCTGGTACTGTGCATTTGGGGTTGTTGATTCTACAACTCTTGAATAGGCAGCTTAAGAATGTGAATTCCAATCCAGATAATCTTCAACCAAGGTGTTAATGAGTTTGTTCAACATGATTCATTCGAATAAGACTAAGATCTGACTGTTCTTTTAAAAATGGGAATCATAATTCAAGCTTACTGAGAAAAGGAGTACACTTATTTTTACTTCCATTTAAATTTTTAACTAAATTCATGAATGAAAGTGAGATTGTGATTTTGCTTTACAAAATTAATGGTTTTATTTTTGTTATAGAAGAATAGCACATTTTATATGGAAGATTCTTCAATGTGGCAGTTCTGCCATGGCCCAGAATGAGCCAGGTGGCTCACACTGAAACCCCATGATTCATTTCCATGGGAATCAAGAAAGATACACTCAGTGTCCTCACCTACTGCTCACAGGGCCACAATTATTGTTCCATGATTACCATGACCGTGTCTGTGCCGCAACAGCAGTTCCACAGTAAAATGCAACATGTCTGGTAGCTGCTGCAATACATAAAGCATCCAATGAAGTTTTCCTTTTACAGAATAAGGCATTAGAATAATCTAGACCAGGGCTTGTCAACCGGTGGTATGCGTACCACTTGTGGTACGTGACCACCTGGCTGGTGGTACGTGGCGTCACCTTTCTCCCCCCCGCGGCGTCACCTTCCTTCCCCATGGCGTCACCTTCCTCTCCCCCTCCGCTCCTTCCCACCTCACTTGTTTGTGGAAAATATGCTGCTTGGCGGCAGCCTATATGAACTTTACCGAATGTGTCCCGCAGGAGGCACATGAAGAGCACAGGCGCAGAGCAAGGCCCCGCCCTCCCCAGGGACTCATTGTGCAGCAACTGATTTGACTTCTCATGCACTCAGATCAGCGAAGGGGAGGCCGCCGCAGCGCCGAACTTCTGCGCCCATCAGCTGGCGACCCCCCGAATTTGCACTTGTCAGCTGGGAGGTCTGGTGCCAGTGCCGGCCGCCGGTCTCCTTTGCCACCCCGCACGTCGTCCTCGACCCCTCCCCCAGCCCGTTCATGTTGAGCCCGCCGGGGCTTGACAGGGAGGGAGGGAAGGAGGGAAGGAGGAAGGGACTCCTCCTCCTCTCCTAAGGTTCAAAACATGATCAGCTTCCCAACGGCGCCACAATCCCAATTCATGTGTTTCTGCCATACCTCCTCGGCGCTCCCGGGAATGGGACAGGTGGAAGAAAGCTTGGCTAGGCTAGGCAAAGAAAAGCCATGGAGCCATGAGCTCAGATCGCAGGCAGACCAGGGAAGGGGGTGAAGAAGAGGAAGGGGATTGGAAGAGAGGAAATGCCAAGCTTGTCCTCGCCTCTCCCAAGAACCTCCTGCGCCACCTCACAGGAACACCTAGTTTCAGATTTACGCTGCAAAAGTTTTTCTCGCTCAGTGAAGAGAAGAAAAACAATTGCAGAACACTCGGGAATCCCTTGCAAGGCACCATGTACCTTGGTGCTTATTTCCTAATGCCTTCCCCCCGTGTTTTCTGCTCCACCCCAAATTCGCCTCCCTTCCACTCTCCTTACGCAGCCATCTATGGTCTTAATACAGCCCTAAGTTTGTCTCACTTTCAACACCCCCTAAAATTCTTCATTCAGGCAGGCTTCCAGAATTCAGCTGGCAGGATGCAGGTAACCCCTTCCCCCTGTCCTGCTGCCTCCCACAGCACTGCGCTGCTCCGTGTCTCACACCTCCGTGTCTCAAGCCTCCATGGCACAGAACTGCTGGTGTTATGCGTGGGCGGAAGACTTTTTCTTTTACAGATGGGGCGGGTGGGCCCGACATTTGCAGGCAGGCAGGATCCTGCCCGCTGAGCCGCCGCCTCCCCATCACCCTCCATGCCAGCCGGCTCCGTCGCCAGACCTCCCAGCTGACAAGCACAGGAGTTCGGCACTGCAATGGCCTCCCCTTTGCCCTCCACACTGGCCAAAGCATTGCCGGCCATTCCAGCTGATGGACACAGGTCCAGGGGTCGCCAGCTGATGGGCACAGGAGGTAGGCACCGCGGTGGCCTCCCAGCTATCTGCTTCTTCGGCTGGAGCAGTTGCCAGGGCTTGCATGGTCCCCAAGGGCTGCTGATGCACTCCCCGCCGCTGGTGACCAAGCAAGCCCTGGCAATTGCTCTAGCCGAAGAAGCAGGCGGCTGGGAGGCCACTGCGGCACCTACCTCCTATGCCCGTCAGCTGGCGACCCCCAGACCTGCGCCCATCAGCTGGAACATCAGGCAACGCTTTGGCCGGTGCGGAGGGCAAAGGGGAGGCTGCCGCAGCGCCGAACTCCTGCACCCGTCAGCTGGTGACCCTTTGAACTTGCGCTTGTCAGTTGGGAAGTCTGGCAACGGAGCCGGCTGGTGTGGAGGACAATGGGGAGGTGGTGGCTCAGTGGATGGGGCCCTGCCTGCCCGCGAATGTCGGGCCCACCCTCCCCATCTGTAAAAGAAAAAGTCTTCCACCCAAGCATAACTTTTAAGGATTTTAAGGATATTTGAGAGGGAGAAATAGAGAGAGGGAGAGAAAGAGGGAAAGAGAAATAGAAAGAAGGAGAGGGAGAAAGAGAGAGGGAGAGAGAGAAAGAGAGAGGAAGAAAGAGAAAGAGGAGAGGGAGAAAGAGGGAGACATAGCGAGAGAGAAAGAGAAAGAAGGAGGAAGAGGGAGAGAGCAAGAGGGAGAGAGAAAGGGAGACAGGGAGATAGAGAAAGAAAGGGAGACAGGGAGAGAAAGGGAGAGAGAAAGAGACAGGGAGGAAGAAAGGGAGAGAGGGAAAGAGAAAGGGAGAGAGAAAGAAAGAAGGAGAGAGATTAAATTAGTAACATGGTTGTTCAGTGAATCTGGTTTCCCCACTAACTTTGCTTGTCACAAGGTTGCAAAAGGTGATCACATGACCCAGGAACAATGTGACCATCATAAATAAGAATCGGTTGCCAAGCATCCAAATGTAAATCACATGACCCTGGGGATGCTGCAATGGTCATAAGTGTGAAAAATGGTCATAAGTCACTTTTTCTAGTGCCGTTGTAACTTTGAACAGTCACCAAGCAAACTGTTGTAAGTTGAGGACTACCTGTACTTTATCACTTTTTTCCATTTTTTTTTTTTTTGTCATCAAGCTTTTGACACCTTGCTGGGTGACTGGTGGTACTCGAATGTTACCATATTCTAAAAGTGGTACAATCGGTGAAAAGGTTGAAAAGTCCTGATCTAGACCAGAGGACCGCAACTCCCAGTCCGTGGACCAGTACTGGGCCGTGGCATGCCAGCAACTAGGCTGCACAAATAAGTAAAGCGCCATCTGCGAGATGCAGGCAGCATACAAAATCATGCACCCTCCGATCCGCAGAAAAGCCTCTCTTCATGGAACCGGTCCCTGATGCCCAAAAGATTGGGGACCTCTGATCTAGATAACTTCAGTGGATTTCCACTTCACAGAATTTTTAGAAATGACATGTGGCTGGGGAATTCTGGGAGTTCAAATCCACACTTCTGGGAGTTGTCAAGGTTGGGAAACACTTCTATTAGGACCCAGTGGCCCAACACAGAGCTTTCTGCCACAAAAACAACAATATTGTTAAAAGTTCAACACATCATACTTGCATTGTTAAACTTTAATACTTTAAATTGTGTTTGCTGCTACTGAAACAAAGCGTTCTTCATCACATTACCTACAATGCCTCATTCTGAGGAAAAATCTTTTCCTCAGTAGGATGCATAAGCATTCAGGAAAAATTTCACAGGAGGCCTCTGCTACTTTATAGAGACACTGTTACACTGTTAGAGTTAAGCATAACAGACCTCTCATTAGATTATACCGGCCACAGGTACTTGCAAAGTTAATAAGCAATCAATTGAAAGACTTTTAATCTTTCTCTCTCCAGAAACAATTATTTTGTATTAGCTTTCTGAGAAAACAAGGATTTCTAAACAAAAAGAAAGAAAGAGCAGCATTATGGTGGAACAGTTACCTACTAATTGCATTGAACTTCCTGTTGCCCAAAAATCCAATGTGAGAACACTTCGGAGCATTATTTAATGCAAGAACAGTAACCAGAAAAGCAATCCCATAACTATGTGGGCAGGGGTTGAAAGAGATTGTATTAGCTTTTTGAGAAAATAAGGAGGAATTCTATACACACAAAGAGAGTGCAACATTACAGTAAAGCAATTTGTTATTAGCTGCATTCAAATTCCTGCTGTGCCAAAGATTAACTAAATAATACCACTGAGAAAAATAAAAAAGAAGGTTCAGCTAATAGTGAGAATGTCAATAAGGGTATTGTGCCTAGGCAAATACAAAAGTACGGAATCAACAGGATTATAGCAAAAGTTCTCTTTCTTCCTGGTCCTTCTTTTTTATAGGCATAGTTATGATACGGCCTGGGTACTAGCTTGATATAGTGGTTTTATTATAGTCCACAATCATGAAAATAACATTCTACAACCACAAGATCTTTTTTTAATCCTACTTTAACATGTTCAAATTAGAATTTCTCTCAAATTATTAGAAATTATTATAACGTATATGCAATTATACTATAATTATATAATTAATTATAATAATAATAATTATTATTATTATAGTAGAACACAAGCCCCAAATGACTGGAGGTCTTTGAGGGTATCGCAGATTGCCTTGATAAACCAAATAAAGCATTAAATGGGCTGGATCTCAGATGTCAGAAAATTGCCAAATCTTATAAGATTTTAGTGCTTTTGCTTCAAATCTCACAAGAATTTAGTGTCCTTTCCCCCGTATCACACCAAATTTCAGGTTAAAACGCCATCTGTGATCATGCAAAAATCTTTCCAACAAGCTTTTAGAGTGATCTTTGAAACTGACAATGCAAAGATCCATATGAAGAAATGGTTCCGATTTGCTACCCTATTCATCAAATTATTGAAAAGCATTTTTCCCTCTTTGATTTGTGTCATTTACTTTATGTTAACAGTTAACTGTCTGGTGTTCACAAACATATTTTATTTGTGTTCTCCCCATAATACCTTTCTAAATGTTATGAAGAGTAATTCACAAAACAACATGTTCAAATTGATATCACAGCTTCATATTCTGAGAATTTCAAATTACTGCGTTTTCCTCCCATTTGCTTTCCCATTACCAGTCTAGAAACAAAAACAGTGACCAAATCCAATATAAACTGTTAAAGTGACCATTTTAATGTCTATCTCACAGCCATCTGTCAGTAGCAGTGTGCAGTGTGTCTTCAATAGTGTTTACAAAGTTGTTTTCTTGCAAATGGCTCTGGCACATGGACAGAATTTAAGCGCCATGGCGTTGTCTGTTATGAAATCATTTTCAAAACTTCTAACATCTCCAACAATTAAGCCCAGAGTTCTTTTTCACTGCTTTGCCATCTTATTTACATATTTCTTGTGGAATAATAATTTAAATCTACATATTTATCCAGTACCAAGGAATTATCACTGATTGCTTGAAATGGAACAGTTCTCTTGAGGGAGGACTACTTCACAGATGGGAGAAAGCATATGCACATACTTGGAAGGATTTGAGTTACTTTTGATGGCAGGATTGTAACTGAGCCCTCATACACTGCAGCAAGGAGGAAGCCAACCCAAGACTTTTTAGTGGGGTGCTTTTGTGCACAGATAAATTGCCCTTTCTCTCATCCCCAGTCTCATTTCCATTGGTCATCAACATCCAAACGGCTGGGAATTAACAAAGCAAGTATTCTGCACAACTCCAACTGGGTTAGTCAATTGTTGCCATCAAAGAGATTGTCCAATGAAACAGTAGGGGTCACCTAATACAACTCTGCAATGCCCCCTGGCAATTTTTGATATTAAAAAAATCAATTAATTTGCAACATGTTGTTCACATCTAGAAATAATTGGCCAACAAATGAAATCGATCTTGACAATCCATGAATTGGAGTTATGATTATGTCATGTAGTCCTGCAGACTTGAGAGAGACCTTGGGTCTATTAAGTCTCAGGCTGTAGATGGCTTTTCAAGCACAAATGTGAGAGAAGCATGAAAAAGCACATAGAATGCAAATTAATGCATCTTATCTCCCACTAGTTAAGCTTTGGCCATTGGAAAAATTGCTCTGCCAATTGAAAGAGCTATATGACACGAGAAACTGTTTTACAGAGATCTGCATTATTTTTTTCTGAATTCCAGAGGACTCTACTTGCAATCCATTCATTAATAAGTTTACTTGCTTATATTTGGAAGCAATCTGTTTGTCTTTCAATACTTCTTGGCCTCCAAAGATGTTGAGGCAACTCTAAGCATTGCCTCTTATTCCTAATGTTTTTTTCATAACAAGCAGATTATGTCAGTTAGACTGAGAAACACTGATCCTGGTTACTTATGGGTAAGGTTAAGTCCTAACAACATCTATTGTGTTTTGTTCAGCATTCTTTGTATATTAGGCCACTGTGGTTTTTCCAACAAAATCCCATGTGGAGTCCTTGGTACTCTCTGAGTTTAGTCTTCCCTGAACAACCAAACTTAGAGAGTACCAAGGATTCCATAGTTTACTCATATCTTATCTCAGCTAGGGATTGACAACCTTTTGGAGTCTTGAGCACCACAGTGTAATCTTATACAGGTCTCCATGCACTAAAAAAAAAAAATATCAACCCAAATCTTATTATATCACTAAACCTTATAAGATGTACCACAATACTTTGACCTTCCCATGCAATATCACAGAAAATTATCACTGAGGTTGCTGAAATCTCATACACACCTTGCATGAACTCAGTCTATGGCTAGCTCAAAAAAGCAGGGTTCATAAAGCCTACATACTCACTAACAAGCTCAAGTAAGCTGCCATACTCCACAGCTGAGTGGAGATCTGAATGTGAGTTTTTTTACATTTGATGCCCATATCTGATGCATCATCAATCAACTTAAGACAATTGCATTCAGAAAAGAAAAGAGCCATTACTATTTCTTATTTTGCAATATGAATCTGTACAGTTTATGGTACATGTTTATGCTAAGAATGTTTACCTCAACTCCTGGTGATTTAATGGACACACACATGCAGTTTTCTTGGCTACCTTATGGAAGTTGTTTACCGTCTCCTTCTTATGGGATGCCCAGCACTACAGAATTTTCTGATAGGCTCTCATCCAAGTATCACCCAGGCCTGAACCTACTTAGCTTCCAGGATCAGGCAAAGTTGAGAAAAGAAATCTATAGTTTTCAGTACTTCTGTTTTGCTGGCAGTACAGATGAACACAATGCCTCTCGGGGCATTTTCTCTTTGGAACTGATTTTAGTGAGTTTATTTTAGTTTATAGTCCTGTATCAACTTACCTGATAGTAAGCTTCATTGAATTCAATGGAAATTCCTATACAGAATTATATTGCTATGGTAATATTAAAGATAGTTGTGGTGGGAAAATAATTTTGCTTTTCTGGATTTATGTGTGTGTGTGAAATAAATTTATATCTTCAATTTCTTAAAAATTTCTTTGTACTGTATATTTGAAGGCTATGAGGACAATCATCAGATGAAACGAAGGGTGGCAGGATTACTGATGTTTAAAATGTTCAAATATATACATGCATCTAGAGTAGCTTTCCCCAACCTGGTACGTTCCATAAAGATTGGACTACATTCTATCTTCTTCAGGAAAAAAGCATGCTCCCTGCTGGGAGGAAGATGCATGATCCAGGGAGAGCCAGACCAAGGAAGGCTGATCTAGAACATCTGGCGTTTCTGCCAACTGCACTGATAAAACACAGCATTGAACTGGTACTAACATTTAGCAAGAGATGCGGCTTGCAATCACCATATAAAGATAGACAGAGTGGGTCCTCACCTCTCTCTCTCTCTCTTCCTGATGAAGGTGTCCTTTTTCATTTCTCTGTTTCATCCCAAATAGACTACTGTTATGCCCTTTTTGCTGGTCTCCTAGTCCCTGCACGCACAATTAACAGACTTCAGCTGGTTCAAAAGGCTGCTTCTCATATTCTGCCTGGCACCAGATGGAGCAAGCACATAACTAGAACTGGCTCAACCACACTGACTGGATGTCACATTCAACAACAAGTCAAGGCAGTGTTGGCATCAATTCCCTTAGAAGAGAAACTCAGTTAAAGATACCCTCTTTAATCCTCAACTGCCCGACTTGGTTCAGCTGAGGCCAAACGTCAAGGCTAGTGTTTTGTCAAACCAAAGCCTAATACAACCATGATTTGGTGACACAACACCCCTTAGGCAATTTTTAACTACAAAGAGGTTATAAAAGGTTCCCAATAAATCCATGTTTTCCCTTTCAGTTCTTTTGGACAGCCATGCTGCTCATCACAATTCATAGTGAGCAATGAAGTATCACAACATGATCACAAAACTCAGATTTTGTACATGATTAAAAATGGTTTTTATATTGCCAAAGGGTAAATGTCATAGAATATATTAGAACCAATATAAATTTGAACAGTAAGTCAGCAGAAGATTCTTTCCCAATTTTCTAATTGAACAGGAGACTTATCTCCACAAATAGTCTGAAAATGAAACACAGGAATGATTATTTGGCTGTAGCTAACTATTTGGAATAGATTTCACTGGGAACAGTCTAAGTATGTAAGTTATGGGATAAGAAATCTTCCTGCCTGGTCTAATTGCTCCTTTAGAAAAGCTGACTTCAGGGGTAAAAACCTCAGGGGGCACAAGTCAGAAAGGAAAAAGCACATGGAGCTTATTGCCCTGTTATTGCCTTGCATTTTTCAATTAACACCTGGAAGAGAGAGGCTGCTTAGACAAGCTAGCTCTTCCTATTTACTCTTGCAAATTGTGACATAACAAAACTTTCTGCTCTAACCTCGGTCAAATAATTATTTCTCTCTTTTGTCATAGCAGGGGCCCAGTACCTGCTGGACACTTAATCTTCACTAATATCTAACCTTCCTTTGCTGATACCTAACGTAAGCAACTCTGGGATGGAAGGAGAAAGAGAGATTGCAAGACTATACAACTTGGCCAACGAAAGCATCTCCTTTGTGAATCAAATTCCAGAGACCACCTCACCATTTGGGCTCATCCAGCTGATTGGGGCAGATCCCCCAATGTGACTATATTCAGGGACAATTTAATAAACTTTCTTCAAAGTTTGTCACCATGCTGGCAATTCCCTTAATGTTATAGTTCTTTAGCTCTGTCCTGCAAATCCTAAATTAAGTATTGTCACACAAATTAGTGACAACACTTTTTTTCCAGCAAGTTAGATTATGGTTTTCTTTCCTTAGCTTATAAATACTTATAAACAGCTCTCCTGCATTTCAAGCAAACTCTTTTCCAGCTTTCCTTAGGAATTGCTAAATTGAACCCAAGTTCTCATGTATGCAATGCAGGGTCTTTATATTATGGATTGATAGCCTATTAATATCCAACTTTGGCAACTTTAAGACTTGTGGATGTTAACTCCCAGAATTCCCCAGCCAACGTGGGTGGCTAGGGAATTCTGGGAGTTGAAGTCCACAAGTCTTGAAGTCACCAAGGTTGGACACCTCTGCTGTAGAGCTTTTATTAAGGGGCTTCCGAGGTTTTGCTGCCAAACAGAAATTAACTGGCTCTTTCACAGTTGAAATCACAGAGAGCAATTTTTATATCTTAATATTGTAATGAAAGGATGGAAAAGATGAGTGTGTCAATCAGAACTCTACTACAGTAATAAAACTAAGCCTTAAATATATATTGTTCCCATGTTTCATTTTCAGAGATGGGGAATTGCTTGAGAATGCTACCATATCACTGATATTTTTTTACAGAGACATTCATTTCAAAGATTTTTCAGCTCAGATATTGAAACACAGTTTTCATCTCTTCTAAAGTTTAATAATGTCCTCACAGTAATCTGGAATGAAATGAACTATTTATTTTTTAAAAAGGATAGTTTGTCTTAAATGGTTAAATGCATCCCCTTCCATTTATTTACATAAAATACATGTAGTATGAGACAATGGCCAGTAATAATTTATTACACTGAAATGAAACGTGCTTTATTGCCAGAACTAAGCTATACTCTTACCATTCAAAGATTCGTGTTATTGTCTTACCTTACTAAAGTCAACAGTACTGTTTTCTCGGCTGACATCATTTTTTGTTTCAATGCTGGTTGGCGCAGACTGTGGGGAAACAATCTGACCTGCTGGAAAAAGTTGTTATTACAGAATACTAACACTTTTCTGTATAATTGTTATAAAACAGCCAATTGAATTAAAAAGTAGATTCTCCCTTGAGTTAGCTTGAGTCCAGTGGACCTCAGAGAAGGGGTTGCAGTTTGCCTGGCAACAGTAGATAAATAATAATTTTCAAAATATCAGTCTATAGTTCTGGATTTCCTAGTCTATCTTCACATTCAAATAATAATCAGGGCAAGTGCTTCTTAGCTTTTTCAAATTACTCGAAGACTTGCTGGGTGCTGCCTGAGAGGGACATTCAGCTGAAGAGATATTTAAATGGAAGATTCATATACAACATATCCTATATGCAAAACATTTCATGTTCCAAAGTACATCCCATTACTACATGTCTAAGCAATACATTTTCTTGATCATAACTTATTAAGAATAATTAGGGCCAACTGAATAAAAACTTTCAATCTATTTGCAATATGTAGCACATTATAAAAGTTTGCTAAAGCCATTTCTTTATTAATTTACTAAAGCTCATGACTCAACTTGTGTTTAAATAACAATAGTGAAACTGGTTGTTTAAAGCAGAGGAAGGAATGTTAGGTATGCTTGCTGCCTTGAGTTCTTTATATAAATAAAAAGGTGAGATTAAAATAATAAAAAATTAAAGTAAAATAATAAAATAAAATAAAATAATAAAATAAAATAATAAAATAAAATAAAAATATTGACATAGTCACCCCTTTTGGGTGGTGTTGTCATGGAACATTAAATATAAAAAACATGACATAAGGTGGGAGTGGGGAACAATGGCCTCTTTATGACCTGTGGACTTCAACTCCCAGAATTCCTAAGCCAGCATGAATGGCTCAGGAATTTTGGGAGTTGAAGTCCATAAGTCATAAAGGGGCTATCATTCCCCACCTCTGACATTAGGTAACAACTCTATACCTCTACTCTGAAACTTCAACTAAGGAAAACTATTACTTCATAGCTTATCCATATATTCCCCATCCTGCAAATCCTGAAAATCAGAGCCATTATAGTTCATGAAACTAAGTGCCCTATATAAAATGCAATAGCTTAAGAATTTAATTCCTGGCAAAGTGGGGGGAATTGAATCCTATGCAATCTAATCCCAATTATAACATATGTACCTGATAAGTCCCAAAAAGGGCGAAACTGGTAATCAAGTAATGTGTAAAATATTAATCAAATGGAAGTTGACTATTGCAACTGCAATAAATACATTTTCCCAGGATCACTGATAGAAGGCATCTCTATACGGCAATAAGATGCGTATTTCCTTACAAAATTGTACAGTGCTTATTCATATCATGAGCATTTAGGATTGAAGCATAACTCTCCAGTATTAATAAATTTTCCCAAGGAGGTTGTGGGAATTATAGTTTTGTGGGTGAACATGTAGGAATTTTGAATGCAATGCACTCATTCAACTATGCTCCCAGCAATATGGGGAGAAATCATTCTTTTTAAAAAATCTGCACAGGTTTTAGTGCTAAACTAGAGATATAGTGGCACCTTGGTACTCAACTGCTTTGAAATTCATCAAATTTGGTACTCAATACTTTTTGATGTAAAAAGTTTGTCCCGGTACTTATTGTTTGTTTGGTATTCACACACAAGCTAGAACTTATCATTGTGACTCACTATATTATTTCTAATGGGAAAAGTTGTTTGGTACTCATCATGCCTCCTAGAACCAAATAATGATAAGTACCCAGGTACCTCTACATACATTGTTTAAATCCATTCTATATTTTCATTCAGACTTTTCCCCAATTTTATTTGTGTGTGTGTGTGTGTGCACAATCCATTTCTAATTTGTACTTTTCAGATTAGAAAAATATTAAAACTATTTGCAAAAGAAAATTATCCTGGCTAGAGTGGAATAGGTATTAAAAACTCTGGTAGGGCCATGAAGGCCTTAAAAGTGATTGTCTAGATTAATCACGATGACACAATGCTAGAAGAAACTGATGTGAAGAGTGAATATCTGAATTGACCTAATGTTCATGCAAGATAGATTTATAGTACACTACCTCTGGACCTTCAAGGAGTTTACAGAACCCAAAGGTTAGAGATGAAGGAGGACAAAGATGGGATGAGCCTGTTAGAGACAGATACAATAAAGATACAGCAAAATAAAGAACATGGAGATGATCATGCACAACAGCAGAATTTAGATCAGAGATTGTCAAACTTTCTCTGGCTGTGAAATCTGTTAGTTAGAAAAAATATATATTCAAAAAAACCTTTATCAAGAGATAAACCTCTAGTGATAGAAAACCTGCTACATGCTAGTGAACTATTTTTTTCCTCTTATCCTTAATCTCTCAAAGACCCCTATCAAGTTCTCACAGAACCATAGGGTTCCATGAAGCATAGTTTGAAAAACTCTGGTTTAGATCATGCACCATTATGAACAGGGAAACCTATGGTGAAAGAACCTATGAAGGAGGTATGATATGGAAATGATTAAGAATGATGGAATATTTGTTTCAAAATAGTGGTACGATAACATTTTTATGAAAAGAAATAGTAAAACTGAAAGTAATGAACAGAGGGGAACAAGTGAAAAAATAAGTGCTGCGCTGCTGTAAAACAGTAAAACAACCGAGCTGTGGTAATTTTGAAGTCAGGAACATCTAAATTTGTAAGGAATACAAACTAGGAATCTCAAACAGCATAGTATTTTCCTCCAGCAGCATTGAAGCATGAACATTCCATAAATTTGTTACCCTTTTATTAGAACTTACAGCAGAAGACCTAGAAAATTCTGGTAGGGCAATCTAAGCATAGGAAAGGAATCCCTGTATATTTTACTCCATTAGTCATTGCTGACTATAGGAGGCAGTGTTCCTTTTCGTTTCAAGACCATGAGTCAGCAGTCCTGTTTTTCACATCATGTGGCCAACATGACATCACAGAACACTGTTTCCTCCCCATCAAAGTGGTACCTGTTTAACCTGTTTATCTACTTGCATTTGCATGCTTTCGAACTGTTAGGTAGGCAGGAGCTAGGCCAGGGGTCTTCAAACTCGGCCCTTTTATGACTCATGGACTTCAACTCCCAAAATTCCTCAGCAAGGGATGCTGGCTAAGGAATTCTGGGAGTTGAAGTCCATGAGTCATAAAAGGGCAGAGTTTGAAGACCCCTGAGCTAGGCAAAGATGGGCACTTTTCCCATTGCATGACACTCGAGTTTTGAATCCACGCTGTCAGCTTTCAAGCTGACAAACCCAGCATCTTAATCACTAAGCCATCGCACCACACCATCTAAACATATCAGTGGCGTGTTGTAATCTCATATAGCCTCCCAGTACCATGGAAACTGAAGACAGGACTGAAAATGGCAATGTTACATTAAGGATATCATCTTAATTACAGATGTCATAATTCTGATGCTCTGTCACGCCTGTTCAGTATTTTAATATCCTTACTTCCACCATTAATGACAATAATTAATATAAAGCCCATAATGTGAAACCTACTCTCTCCACAGGACATTATTTAAATGTATATGAAATAAATAAATATGTAACTACAAAACAAACTTAAAAAAAAATCTTTTACTATTGAAATTGCAATAAAATACCGATTCTATGATCTTCTACATATAAGAAACAAGTAGAGATATTTTACTGTTAAATGTGATATTTTACTGATAAATGTGATATTTTATTGGCAATTTTGATAATAAATTTGATATATTTATTTATCTTAAAATTAAATAAATAAAGTTTGGCTCCCTCAAAATACAGTCCATTTAGAAAAAAAGTCATGCATGCCCTTATTAATTGGGATATCATGAAAAAAGTTAGATTAGGAACCTAGTGATCTGGTTCTACAAATGCAAGAATTTTTTTATCTGTGGTAGAAAAGATGGCATTAGATAAGGCAAGTTACCTATTCCCCAAATCTGCTTTTCCAGAGAAAATACTGTCAGCTCAGCCATAAAATAATTGGAAGGTTAAGGAATTTTGCTAAATATGGAATACATAATAGTAGGCAAGCACAGGTTATCCCATATAAATAACTCTCTAGGAAGAAAATATATTCATGAAATACTGTTTGATTTTTTTTGGGGGGGGGAGGTATCTCTCAAATACAGCTTTGTTTGTGTAGTACTGTCTTCCTTACCTCACATAATCCCCCTTCCCACAACTGATCTCAACAAATACACAATGCTATATCCATTCATGCATAGCTCTATACAGGGAAATTGCATCTTTGCCCTTGTTAAGTTTGCTTCTGCTGCCTCCAGTACCATAATAAACAATCTGTGCTTCAATGGTCCAATTTAAATAAATTCAAGAAAATTTATGAGAGGTTTCTTCTACCCAGCATCTGGTCATAAAGGGCTCCATCTACTGACTTCATTAATACAGGCCAGACACAGATGATGCACTGGGTGAAAACAGTTGCTCAAATTAAGCAGCTAAGTAGTAATAATAAACTAACTAAGTAGTAATAATAAACAAGACAAAATGACAGAGATTTAATATCCCTAACTCTTTAAAAAAGATTTATCACATGTGATGCTGTTTAAAGGATGAATGTATTGCTAAGTGTTCAAAGTAAGAATTCCTTGAAAATATTCAAAGTGGATCCAGAAGACATACTTCTGGCTTACACTGTATAGACCATAACATTACCCTAGCAGGATTAGGTAATCTGTAATTTAATCAGTTTAATCTGTAATCCATCTATGTGATTACACAGGGAATCACAGGTGGCGCAGCAGTTGGAGTGCAGTACTGCAGGCCACTTTAGCTGACTGTGTTCAGCAGGTCAGTGGTTCAAATCTCACCGGCTCAAGGTTGACTCAGCCTTCTATCCTTCCGAGGTAGGTAAAATGAGGACCCAGATTGTTGGGGGCAATGTAAATATATATATATACATTGCTTACTGGTGTACACCGCTTAGAGAGTGCTTGCACTTAAAGCGGTATATAGGTCTCATAAATAGTCTCATAAATAAATTATCAAATTTCTTGTGAATCAATCAAAAATATTGCTTAATGACCAGTGTTGTGAGTTATTGGTCATTAGAGCCATCAAAATAATCTCTTGACTTGCATTACAATTTGCACTTGAATATAACCAACTCAAATACCTTATTGTTAATAGAACTTATTAAATGTTAAAAGAATATAATTGCATCATGAATGTAGATGTTAACAGAATGTAATTACTAATATGCACCAGTCACTGGAAAATGAGTCAAAATAAATTGATACTGTTCAAATATATTGATCCAGAGTTTGTATCATTCCTAAGGAGCAATCAATAAGCAGGTGAGTATGGAATTGTATTCTAGTATAGATGCAGATCATCAATTTAGGAAAAAAGTGCATGACATATATCAGGGGTCTTCAGACTTTACCCTCTTATGACTTATGGACTTCAACTCACAGAATTCCTCAGCCAGCATGCCTGGCTGAGGAATTCTGGGAGTTGAAGTCCACGTGTCATAAAAGGGCCAAGTTTGAAGACACCTGACATATACGGTATACTTCTGAATCTGCTTACCTGAAATATGTTCAGAGAAAGCAGACTTGGTTAAAGCTTTTATTTCAAGACAAAAGATGACTAATTTGCAAAATCTTTTTCATAAGAGATTTTATAAAATTTATTGCTTAGGTCTCCTGAAGTCAGGATAATTGGCTTGCCTTGTTCTGAAAATATCATCTTTTCCATCTTAATCTTAGCAACTCATAATTGTTTAGGAAATGGAGTGATAACTGACACACTTACATAACCCCACAAAAATTATTGCTTTTTCTTTATTTTATAACTTTCTTCTCACTTTATCTCAAACCAAAAATGATGTACATTGGAAGTACACTTAGGAATGTTTAAATGTGATTTAAACCCATTCAGTAAAATCAAAGAGGTATACAGGAACTGCTGAATATATCTTTCTGTAAAAACAACTAGTTAAATAAAGAAGCCAATTAAGCTACTGCACATCAATGCCAAAAACTTACGTTTCTCCTTCCTGGTTGCCTGTAAATTGATTCCTTTTATGAGGTGTCCTACTCTATAATTTCAGAGCCATTGTCAAAGATTTGCTACCATCCCTTATAACTCCAATTTCCCACAGTTAAGGGAAGGGAACCTGAGAAAATGTAAGTGTTGCAGTGATGTTGGACAAGAAGATTGAAATGAAATAAATCACCGATTTTGGCAAATCCATTGTATCAAAGCTACAGTAACCATTACTTAATTAACATGACACTTTACCATTTTTGTCCATGGAATGGGGTTCAGACTGTTTCTTGCCAATGTCAGCAAAGGACCTGACTATTGGGATCCTATTGCTTAACTTCTTTTGGTTCTGATGATGATGCTGTTTGAGTAAAGCCTCATGGACTCTGTGGCGAACATCCTCACTGAGCTGTCCAGACCCTACTTGTTGATCAAGAATCATATCTGAAAAATAAAACAGCAATTGAATTATCTTTTGAGTCAATTGTGCAATAACTAGCCACATTTCTAATAGATTCTCAGTGGAAGCATTCGGTCAAATCTATCACTTATATGAGATTTTATCACTGTGTTGCAAATATCATTGCAAGTAATACCTAATATTGATTATTCATATTTCCATGGGAGAGCTAAAGGGATTATGAACATGAAACTTAAGCAGTAATGACAAACAAGCAGACCAAGTTTGCTATTAACTTCAATATGCAACTATTCAAATTTATGTAAGCATTTGAGTAATCAGGCTACAGACTATGGAAAGTCAATTTTTGGATGCAGTATTTGCATCTCCAAATACTATAATCCTGTAGAAAATAATTTAACCAAGAAAGATATACATTTTAATTCTCCTGTTCAGTGTAAAATGGGCAGCTAGATAAATGCTTTAAATGAATAAATAAATAAGATTATATGAACGAGGGCCATAGGCTTTGAGCAGCTCACACATTATTTAGGGGATCTGTGCAGCTGAAGTAAAGTCAACAGACATCTTTGTAAAAGAATATTACTTTATGAGTCACTTCTTGGAGTCCAAGGTTAGAGAATGGAATCAGAATATCTCAAAGATCATTTATTTTATATATTATTAGACAACCTGATTGTTTGAATCATAGTTTCAGAGATTTTTGTTACTTAAACAAAGAAGCCAAATGACCATAGGAAAAAAAGCATTGAGAGTCAGAGCAATTTTCAACTTCCTGCCAGCTTTCCTATTGGCTTTCCTTGTAGGAAACTGGCAGGAAGCGTTGGAAATGATGATCATGTGACCTTGGCTCCCATCAATGGCAGCACTGAGGCAGCCACAACTCTACCAAGTTTGAATCTCATTGGAGCCATAGGTCTTGGATTTTGGACACATTCTGAAAGTTAGCCCATTTAAGGTACACTGATTTAAAAACTGTTGCCCTATGATGCACCATTTTGCCCAAATGAAGGTTACAATCAGCCATACATAAGAGTTTTAGTAGTATACTAGACATTATATGACCTGTTGGATCATTCTTTTTTTTTTTTTGCACATAAAATATAGGCCTGTGCTGTTACCACCTCCCCTCACACTCTTAGGAGAGCCCCAGTGAAGGGGGAACAAAGGGAATGGAGGACTGTGAGGAAAACTGCACCCTTGATCCTATTCCAGCATCTCCTGAAGACTTCCCTGCCTCCAGGGAGAAAGAAGTCTCACAGTTAATGGCACTCCCCAGCCAGCCTTATCTCACCAGCAGGCATCCTTAGTTCTTCCTCTTTCCACATATATATTTAGGCTTTCACCATTCCCCCTCCCCTCATGAACCTCAAGAGAGCCCCAATGAAGCCATTTCTGCCATCGCCATCATTGCCTTTATGGCTGAACTGCAGATCTGCCAGCCACTTTGTTGTAGGGAAGAGGAACAAAAGGAGCCAAGAACCACATTGAAAACTGCAGCTCTGCTCCTCATTCTTCCAGGGAGGAAGAGGGCTCACCTACCGATTGATGGTGTCGCACAGCCAACCCTACCTTGCCAGCAGGCATCCATATTGCTCCCTCATTCTTCCCTCACTGGGCATTGTCATTAAATTTCACATTTAGACTTTAGTTTGAAAACAGCCAATGGCTGCTCACCTGTTGGGCCTTGCCCTAGCTGATTGGGTGTGGAGGCGGGAAAGAGGGTTGGGATATGTCCCTCCCATCTTTCCTTATGCCACATGACCTACAAGTTTCTAGGCACGATAGTACTAAAGAGGCCACAATTTTGCTAACTTTCAATCCCACAGGAGCCATGAATCCCAGACACATTCTCTAAATTAGCCCGTTTGAAGTATGTTGATTAAAAAATTATTGCTACATGGTGTACAGTTTTGCCTGGTTGAAGGTTACAAAGTATCAAACAGCCATGAGAATTTTGATTGTAGTATTATGTTTTGATACATACAGAAAATGGATACCGCCATGCCTGCAATCTACCTGAGTAATTCTGCATATGGTAAAAATCTAAATCCTATGCAGCTGGCTTTTTCATAAATAAGACCTGAACTGTACATACATCTCAGTTTTCTTGCTCAGCCATATTAGACCTGCATGGGTTTTTAAAGTAAAAAGTTAAGGTTAAAAAAAAAATTCTATTAGCAAAAGGAGTACAAAACCTTTACAATGCTTCTCTGAGCTGCTCAGTCTTGGACCGTAGGTTCACCTTTATAGTTATTCGGCATCTTATTTACTCACTGTATAAAGCTGAGGGTGTTCACAATGGTGTTCCTGACTGTGGAACTAACAGCAACAGTGCAAATAAGAACAAGAGATTGGGATTAAGCCCCGAGAAAAAGCTACGAAGTAGAATTTAACTCTTTCCTCACACATCATTTTCATTCCACCTGCTGGCATTCCTATTGTAATTTTCTTGTTGTACAGAAACCACAGGGAGTGGGCTTTTTAAAGAAAACAAAATAAGCAATCAGGATAAGGATTCATCACTATTCCACCTCACTTCAAAAACTCGGTTTGCCTCTGCTGCTTTGCAACTGTTTATTGGAGACCTTGTTTTCAAACTGTATGATGAGATAGCATCCTTTTAGAAGAAGCAGCTTTTGAAGTGCAATTGCTTCAAACTGCTTCCTTCGTTATGCAGATGTAAAACTACATTAGTCAGGATGGTTAATAACAATAAAATGCCCAAACTCTCTAATCGGGACAGTAAAATGAATTGTGCTATGCGAGCTCAATTCTGATTTAAACTTCATATATGAAAATGGATTTTGAAAGGACAAGTAAACATGACCCTAAAATTATCAAGAGTGCAGCATGACTTTAAAAAGACTACTAAAACTCTTATGTATGGCTGATTGTAACCTTCATTTGGGCAAAATGGTGTATCATAGGGCAACAGTTTTTAAATCAAAGTACCTCAAATGGGCTAAATTACAGAATGTGTCCAAAATTCAGGACCCATGGCTCTAATGATTTTCAAACTTGGTACAGTTGTGGCTCCCTCAGTGCTGCCACTGATGGGAGCCAAAGTCACATGATCATAATTTCCAATGCTCCCTGCCAGTTTCCTACAAGGAAAGCCAACAGGGAAGCTGGCAGGAAGTTGGAAATTGTTCTTACTCTTAATGCTTTTTTTTCCCCTATGGTCATCTGTTTAGGTAAGGAAATATCTATAAAACCATGATCCAAATCAGAGGTTGTCTAGTAATTTATAAAATAAACTATTTTATCTTACTAGATGTAAGCTGGTTTCTCCAATCTATTTTAAAATTATAACCAGATATCCAAGGATGGATGGACAGTTAATAAATATGTCCAGATCAGCTTCTGATATCTATTTTTCTCTTTCTAAGCATAGGCAGAATTCATGAGCTATACGACAGATATTGTGTTTGTGTGCCTGTGTGTGTGCGTGCACGCAATTATTGACTATATAAAATTAATAGGCTGGAGAGATAGAACATTTTCTCCTGTAAGAAAATTAAAGAGGGAACTAACAAAGAAAGAAGATGGAGAGAGAAATTTTGTACTGTTAAGTTTTAGATATTTTTAGAAAATGGTAAGACTTTAAAAAGCAAGTTTCTTAGTACAACAAATGAATCAACATTAATTAAACCACTCGGAGTTTGCATATTCATTAGAAGACACAATGTCACACAGCCCCTCTGACATAGCCAGAGTGAGTCATCAACAGTTTTGTTGAAAATCCTTGGATGGCTCATGATCCTTTTTCTGAGCCATTCCACTTTTCCAAGAAAACTCAGGCGTGAAACAAGAAGGGCACGCAGATGTCAAAAGCAGATGGGATTAGTCAAGTGTTTGATTATTTCAGGGAAAAAGGCACAGGTACTCAGAATAAAAGGCATAATTCTTAATTATGTATATCTTCAGAAGAAACCAGCTTGCCATATAATGACGTGACAGTCATCCTTTTATATCTTATTGAAACAAAAGAGACCATGTGATTCGAAGAACACGAAGTTGTGCTATTGTCAAGGCCAGGCATTCTGCATGGATGTCTACCAAGAGATGTCTTATTTGTATACTCCTTAACCAAAAAATCCAATTGCATGAAGACAAGTACACATGTGCAGAATCTTTCAAATGTCAAAAGGGGTTGACACAGAGGGAAGAAGCTGGGTGACTTCTAGGGCCTGCTTTCTGTTTAATCACATTGACATCTTTTGTGGGATTACCACATGGAGGAAGAGCATAAGAAGGCTGCCTTCTCCCCATGTTCTTCGACCTGAGATGTCATGTAACAACACTTTTATGAACAACTGTCATCTTCATGCTCAACTTAAGAATTTCTCAAGAGCATACTGCATATCGGGTCACTTTAGGATAAAAGTCTAATCCAATAGTATAGTTTGTCTCTGTTTAAGAAAGGTCTATGCAGAATGGCATCATATAGTCCTGCTTTCTATTTCACCCATAGCCAACCAAATAGCTCTCTGAAATGTATTAGCAAAGTAGAATAAGTTTTTCCCAGCATTTAATGCCAAGTATGTATACAGTCTTCTATCAAAAAAACAACAACCCTTCTGGGGTAGGTAGCTAGGTAAAGAGAATAACTAATTTTTAAAAAACAGCCAAAATTAGCCAACATTTACATTAATACATTAATAAATATAATCTATCCTTGACTAGGATTGATGCCTACCAAAATAATAAGTTTATCCTTTGAATGAAGGATTTGTGCCCCCCCCCCAAATATCAATGTCCATAGAAGTGCTATAATGCCCATAGCTTCTTGAATATTAAATACTAAAATACTTATCTTTTATTCTTAAGAACAGCCAGTGGTATTCTTGCATCAACCTTTAAATCCCCAATAAAGGGTTGAAGCTCAGGGTTGAAATGAAGGCTTCTTGATGCACTCTGAGCATGGTTGTTTTCTTGCAGATATTTCATTATCATATCAGTGATGATGTTACCTATTCTGGGTAATAAAATGTCTGCAAGAAAATAGCCAAGCTCAGAC